TACAATTCTTTCGTCTTTCATATCTGCATCTATTATTCCGCGTCTAGCTTTTAGTTAAACAAAGAGGGCTGATATTTTGATTGCTTATTCTTTCCAAGGTTATTAGGATTGCTGGTTAGATTGTGAGATCATATTTCTTCTTTCAGCACCCCTTATTGATTGAATTGCAAATCAATACCCCTAATTAGACAAATTGCAAAAATGCAATCCAGCCAAGAATCAAGATTGCCCCGTACTTTTACCTAATTGTCAATATTTTGCTGGCCCTATTTTGTGTAATTGAAGATGAATGGACGAAGATTACTCCTACTTTTTTTTACAGTCCTGCAACTACTACTACCCCTTTTAATCATTTAATGTGTGAATGTTATAAGTGAATTTTATTTAGGGGGAGATTAAGATAATAATATTAAAGAGAAATGAAAATAAGAGTAAGAATTGACCTCATGGAATCTTATAGCCCACAGTATACAGGTCTAATTTTGTATAGTATACCACATGACCTATTAGCAGTTTTACAAGTGTTAATTTATTTATGTCTTCCTATTAATAGTAACCATATCTTTTAACTTTGATTTATGATTCCTCATGTTTATAAACTCTCAAACACATTATGTAATTTAGTAGGGTTTGTGGCAGAGTGAAATTACCACACTTGTTCTGTTGAGGCGGGATTCGGCAAGAGGCAGCGCAGTAGAGGGTGAGGATGATGAAATGAGGGAGTAAATGTGCACTTTTCATTGCTGAACCAGCACTTTGAGTGAACCATTAGGCATTAGCAAACAGTTCAAAGTCTGATTTTTTAAAAAATATTAATACACTTTTTCTTTGAAGATTTGTCAATGGTGTTGTGTTCAAATGGTTTGTTTAGTTGAAAAATCTTCAAAGTATTAGCTTTGTTTGACTTGTCATAATGTAAAACAGGTTACATATTTGCAAGATCATCATATTCACTTGAATAAGACGTAAAGTAAGCAATATTAACACCACAGCCTCTTCTTATACCTGGGTCTTAGACTCTGGGTTGGCCCAACAACTTATGACTTCATTTTTTAAAAATTTCAGGTTCCTTCGGGCTCATACTACTTGTTCGGGTCAATGCAGGTTTAAGTAGAGAACTATATGTTCATCACCATTATCATTCGGTTTGGGTCGACCCAACGGGTTATGACTTTGATTTTAATCAAATTTATATTCATTTAACACTTGCATTTTTCTTTAAGTAAAATTAAAATATCAAAGAAAAAATGTACTATATCTATTATATTATTTTATTTTAAATTATGAAATGATTTTACCTCTTAGATCTATACAATTTGAAGCTCCAAACAATTGAAATACAATCTAAGACGAATATTTAGGCTCGAGCTTCTCGATGCTGTTCACATCCGCCATGTGAAACTTTGAACAAAACAAATCAATCACCCAAGACCAAAAACATTATATATACATATAATGTATTTGTAGACTAAAACATTTTATTGTGGAACAGTCTCACTAGGATCCCTTAGACCTTTTTGATGATCTTAGCCAAAAGGTCAAGAAACGTAGTAGAAAATTTATTTTTTAGTAGATGAGATCCACCATGTTAAAATTTAAACACAACACAATAACGAAAAATATTACATATATACTTGGCTGGAGAGTCAATTTGACAATATTTACCTTGGTAAGAGATTTTCCTATTTATTAACCTCTTTCATGTCCTATTTGATGAGAGGGTTCATGCCGAGTCTTCTTTATTGGCTGGAGCTTGGCGGTACTTTCAACAAAATGGAAATTTCAA